AGAAGCATTATGGATTGCTTCTTCAGACTATCTAGCATGGCGAGAGGTATTTATAAGTCTTCCGCTGCTACTCTGATGATTGTAGAATTCTATATGACTATTTGGATAAATATATGTGTTCATATGAATTGTTCTAACACCGGGTGCTCCGGAGCATTGCGGTAATTGACAGAGACGCCAATGACGTTCGCCTGATAAACAATGGAGTTGACGAAGTTGTGGTAATTTGGGGAGAACGCAGTTTCGATGCAGAAGTCACTGCCATGGAAGTAAACAAGAACAGGTAACTTCTGACCCGGGTTCATGATTTTGGGAAGGAAAATCCTGGCAGATACGGCTTCGTCTTCAGAAATCACAACGTCTTTGGATTGGACGCCTGTTACGGAGTCAACGCCGGGAGGAACAGTTCTTAGGCCGGCGAGTCTCTCTACACGGCCATCTCTGTAAATTTTCAAAACCGGGGGGGGGGGGAGTCATGGGCTATTTGGTCGGCGTCATGAGAGGAAAGCGAAGAGGGAGAATTAGGAGCAAAGAAGGAGTTGGAAACTTAAGAAAGGAGAGGCGAGGGGAAAGATGCTGATGTGAGAGAAAGAGAGAGGGAAGGAATGGCTAAGAATGCCATTGGCGAAGGGGTGGTTTGATTTGATTAGCGCACGGTGATATTTGGATTGAGTGAGCGCTGGACTGGTCATCTCGTCGGCTTTCTCCGATTCAAATCACAGTGTCAGAATGGAAAGGGATGAAAAAGCAGAGGTTGTAAAGTTTTTATGGCGTGCAGGAGACATCTTTCGCGGGAGGGCATCAATTCTAATGTCACACATGCGTAATCCAAAAACCTAATACTCATGTATCAAATACTAACTCCATCAGATCCAAAATATAAACTAAATTTTTTCTATTTATATTTATCAAAAAACTAATTATAATCAATTGAAAATAATAAATGTGAAAAGTATATATTTGTTTTTTTAATATAACTTTATTAACGAAGAAAACAAGTAAAAGATACAATAAATAAATTAAAAAACAAAGAGAATATAAGAGGATAAAATTAGGAAAAAAAAACTCATCAAATATTTGGACAAAATGAATATTATTTTATAAAAAAAACCAACTTTTTAAAGAAAATTTAGCTTATATTTTAAATCGGAAGGAGTATAAACTACCATTACTCAAATTCCACGCGGCAATCAAAATCATTATTCATTAGAACTAAGGACAAGATTGGTTACCAAAAACACCGAGAACTGATACCAATCAGCTTATTCATGATGGGCACAACTCAATCTTGTTTAATGAAAGACACAAACTTTTGAAGCAAATCCTCAGCCTTACCTTCTCTTTGATTCCCAATAAAGTGAAAGTAATGCTCTGAACCCCAGTTTTCCACAAGCTCAACTTCATCACCCCACCCACTGTTCTTCAACTCTCTCGCATAATTCCTCCCTGCTTCAAACAAGCAGTCCTTCTCTGCTGCAAACACCAACACTCTCTGGCAACCAAGTCTCTTCAGATCCTCTATGGCCGGTTTCATCCTCCTATCTTGCAACCCTTCATTCTCTGGACACATATGCAGCCACATGTGATTGTCCACTGTGCCCCCAAAAAAGGGTGCACTAAAACCGCCCCGATTATCCTCACACCCGACAATCCTACTTTCCCAACCCAAGTGACCAGCGTGTGGGTTATGTTACCTCCCGTGCTGTCGCCGGCGACGAACACTCGTTTGAAGTCGGCATGGTTGTTCAGCCACGACTCGGGTTCGGATCTCCCCGAGTGCGATGCGATCCACTGGAGAGCAGCCCATGAGTCTTCGTAGCAAGTGGGGAAGGGTCGCTCTGGGAATAAACCATATTCCACAGAGATCGTGATGACGTTTGCTTCAGCCACCACTGTAGCGACATAGTTGTGGTACTGGCAGGAGAAGGCGGATTGCATGCAGAACCCGCCGCCATGGATGTAGAGGAGAACGGGGATTTTCCAGCTCGGGTCGGTTATCTTGGGAAGGAAGATTCAGACAGAGACGGGAGGTTCGACGGAGACGATGGCGTCTTTCGATCGAACACCGGTAGTTGGATCATCAGAAGGCGGGATCTTCTCAGTGAGGGGTCAGAAGTCAACCACTCTGCCGTCTTTGTATACGCAGAAGAAGGGAAAGTCGGGGGCTATGTCATTGTCTCTTTCAGCCATCTCGAGGTTTGTTCTCTCCGTCCCCTGGGCTTTGAACAAAGGAAGAAGTTAAAGCAGAACACGTGTTTTGCTCGCACTCGGTCTCAATTCCATATTTCATTTAGTTGGGCACTGGGAGTTGGTCGTCAACTACCCCCTCATGGATGTTAGGCGGGCATTGAACCTCACAAAATTTTCGTTCTTGCCTTAAGCCTTGGTCGAGGACGGTCCGACCTATGTTTGGATGAAAACCAAACTATAATTTTAAAAGTGTTTTTACAGTTTATAAAGTAGATATGTGGAGGAGTTTGTCTCGTTTTACAAAAAAATACTTTTTAAAAACATTTTTGAGGGTAACCAAACACCCTCAAATGAGGGATGGTCTTAAAAGATATGTGCATTATTATTTGATATTTAATTTGAAAAATACTTTTCTAATCCTATTTATAAGATATTTTCAGCATGTTTCATACATGTCAAGAAAAATTTTAAATTTCATTAACTCTTATTTAAAATTTAATGACTTTCCAACTTTATCCCTATTTAATATACATTATACCTCATATAAACAAAGTCAACACAATAATAAATGAAGGGTAAAATTGTACATCCATACAAAAAATTTCTTTCAGTGTCCTATAAATAGGACCAAAAAATACCTTCTCTCTTCGCCTTATAAATAGAACCAGAGGAGTATTCTCTCTAGCTGTATAAAAAAAAAAAATTCTTCCTAAAGGAGACAGAAAAATGCGGGAAAAAAATTACTTCTCTGGTCCTTAATATAGAACCTAATTGTTGAGTTGATTTTGATCTTAAATAGAAGACCCATTTCTCATATTTATCAATTTTCTTTAAATTACTCTTATGAATACTCCCTCAACCATAATTAAGTAGAAGAGGGAGATGTGGTTTTAAGAAAGATGATTATGTTGTTTTAGGAAAAACTGTCACATTTATTATACTCCTTCGGTCCTTATTATAAGACCCAATTTGACTTTTTATTTCGTCCTAATTATAAGACCCAATCCATTTTCTCTTTTATATTTATGTATTTTTTTCCAAGATAATCTTTCTAATAATAATAGTTTTAGCTAATATACTTAATTAGCAAGGATATTTTAGGAATAACAACACTTATTTATTATAAATAACCAACTTAACTTACTTCCTTAATCTCCTCAAATAAGTCAATTGGGTCTTATAATTAGGACCGGAAGAGTAATTAACTAACTTATCTAACTTTCTTAATCTAATCAAATTAGTTAAATGAGTTTTATATTAAGAAGTGGAGAAGTATATATTTTATTTAGGCAAAAAATCAGAATAATAAAAATATTACACAAAAGCGATAAAAAATTTTAAAAAATTGCACGCCATTCAATTAAGATAGTCGAAAAAATTTAGTTAAAAGAAGGCAGTAGAAAATTGTTGTTTTGTTTCTTAAGTTTACAATAATGACAATGCTTTTAAAATAACAATTTTTTTCGGTTTTTTGAATAACATTTGATTGATTTGAAGGAAGGAATAACAATTGGCCATACTTTTTAATGGCGTGTGCGTTTTATTCACAAAAAAAGAGAGTGGATTAATGCAATATTTTCAAAAAGTGATAAATTATACGTCCTCCCACACTTTAAAAAGTTATCTGGTCCTTATAAGGCCTCACAGACAAAACCTTGCTATAAAATAACAACTTAGAATAAAAAATAAAAAAAATTGTGAATCAAAAGGTGAAAAAGAGAAGATTTTTTTTTTTTAAAGAAAAAAAGGAACGAGTAGAGAGGGAGCATGGGGGAAAGGTGACAGTTTTTACAGTGTGATGTGAAGGTATTAAGTGTCATATGCATTTGCATTTTTTCAGCCACAGATCACATGAAAGGTCAGCATTAGGGAAATGGAGGAAAATGAACAGAAAAGAAATGGAGAGACCCTGTGCCGCTTTGCCAAGTACCAACCTTGGCATCAGTCATTGAGAAACCAACCCACGGTTATCTAAAGATTGAGCAAAAGAAAAACCAAGAATTTAAAATAATAGGAAACGGATCAAGAGGCTTTTGAAATTCGTCATTGAAAGAGAGCACTATTTCGCCGATTCCATAGCTTCCAGATGGTCACTCCCCATACAAGATCCCATTGAGCGACTCCATGCTTTCCCAAATTGCGTTTCAGATTAAGAGCTACCCAGAAAAGAAACTGGCCATAACACGAAGGTTTTAGCAACTTAACTCATAAATTACGAGCACACTGCATATTGACAATCCCGTAATCCATGTAATATATCCTCCACGTCAGCGTTGCGGTAAGTGCACATAACATAGGAGAGGCCCAACACTAAACATTCCTCCACAGATTTGCAGGTAGATTCTTGTTGAAAGCTAGCGACGTGAAAACTCTTATACGCTCCACCCCCTTCCCATTTTCATATTAGCTTGTGAGCATTGCTATAGAGATTTGAAGCGTTCTGTTCCAGAAAGTAATGAGCAATTTTCGAAGTAGAATCACCATGTGGTGTCGCACTCCAAATCATAACATCATCACCAGCTATAGGCATTGAGGGAAGTAGAGTAATAAGACGCTGAAACATATCTTGATCCACAATAATAGCTAGTTTGAAAAAATTCCTACTACCTTGGAGAGCCCAATCAGCAACTGTACTATCATTTTCCCCAGAAGATGGTGTTCTAACTTCTAAGGCACATGTCTTTAATTTTCTTTGTTTATCAGGTAAGATCCAAGTATCATTAATGAAATTAATACATACTACTTCCGCTCGATTCTAGTCCTAATTATAAGACATCACTTACAAACGAGCTATTATAATTAGTACCGCTGTTTTGGTAGTACTTATCAAAGAGAACATCTGCCCATGAACCTTTAATACTAGTCGCCAACTTCCAAGCTAATTTGGTAAGGCCGAGGTCCCATAATTTCTAGGAGGAGTCACTATCTCCCGACTAATAGGATGGTATCACGTTCCTCCTTCTCGATTGAACTGCATGAATTGATGAAGGGGTTAAGAACTAAACGATGCTTTCTCGTTTGGACAGTAAGACCCACAAATCGAGTATGTCTCGAGGTCGAGCTCGAGAGAGATAAATAACAGACTTTTCTCCCAAAACATGCGAGGGAAATAAGATCAATAAGAATAACATGGGATGTCACTAGAATGAAGCTCACGGGATGATTGGATTAATGGTGTGCTTTGAACACTTTTAAAAATCACTCTCTTCTCGTATATATTTACATTGTATAGTACAAAATTACTTAAGCTAGCTCAAATAAAAATAAAAAAAATTGTTATCCGTCGATGTCCAAAAATCTTACAGGCAAAGACCCCCCCGGGGGGAGGCTTGCTGATAGCCCAGATTTTTGTTATGGGAATATAACTGCATATCTTTGGATTGGAATTTGATATTCTACACCCAAATATGTAGCCGCAAAGCGTGCAAATATTAAAACCCAAACGGGCAATCTAACAATAAAAACTGTGAAATATAGTAAGCCACAAAAAAGTAAAGTGGTCCAATGCTTACTGCTTTTCCTGTTTGATGAAGGAAGCAATAATGCTCAGTAAAGCCATAGCATTCTCACAAGTTGGCTTGAATATGTGGAACGCGTGGTTTTCCCCTTTCGTCTCAAACACTTCTACATCCCCCGAAAATCCATTCTTCCCCAGCAATTCTCTGTAATTCAGGGCTCTATCCCTCAACAAATCTTCCTCTGCAGCACAAATGAGCACTCTCTGACAATCTAGCCTTCCCACGTTCGGATCCTTCTCCGGGTTAACCAACGGATCGTCGCCCCCAGACGCACTCGGACACAGAAACTTCCATAGACGATCCAGCTTCGCCGAGTATGCAGCTTGATTCCGTTCCGACTCTGTTCGTTCTTCGCCCCAGAAAAAGGGCTGCACCAAGGCTAAAGCTTCCAGCTTTAGGCCCGGTGGTTTTTCTAACCCGACCCTAATCGCCATGTGGTGTGCTATATTAGCGCCCGCACTATCCCCGGCGAAGACAACCTTACCCAAATCGGCGTGACGATTCAGCCGCTCGTCGGGGCCGCTGCCGCCTAAATGGGAAGCGACCCATTTGACGGCAGTCCATGAATCTTCATGACCCGTTGGAACCGGGTGCTCCGGCGCATTGCGGAAATTGACAGAGATGCCTATGACGTTCGCCCGAGAAGTAACGGAGTTGAGGAAGTTGTGGTAAGCTGGGGAAAAAGCGGTTTCGATGCAGAAGTTGCCGCCGTGGAAGTAAACGAGAACAGGTAATTTCTGACCCTGGTTCGTGATTTTGGGAAGGAAAATCCTGGCGGATATGGCTTCGCCTGGTGAAATCACGACGTCTTTGGATTCGACACCGGTTACGGAGTCGACGCCGGGAGGAACGGTTTCCAGGCCGGCGAGTCTCTCTACGCGGCCGTCTTTGTAGACTTTGAAAACGGGGGAGAAGTCGTAGGCTAATTGGTCAGTGTCGTGAGAGGAAACCGAAGACGGAGAATTAGAATCAGAAGAAGAACTGGAAAGCTTGAAAGAGGGGGGGCGAGGAGGAAGAGGCTTTTGTGAGAAGGAGAGAGGGAAGGAATGGCTAAGAACACCATTGATGAGTGGTTGGTTCGGCTTGATCAGCGCACAGTGATATTTGGCTTGGGTTGGTGCAGTGAACAATACTGGGCTTACCATGTCTCGTCGGCTTTTTCCCACTAAGAAAACAGTGTAAGAATGGCGAGGGATGAAAAAAAGAAAAAGAGAAAAAAATACAGGTTGTGCTCTAGCTGCAGTTCCATTAATGGATTGTATTCACTTGTCAAAGGCTACAGGTTCAGCGGCCACATCAGCAAATTCTGGGGCACCCTTCGATGCTGCAGTGATTCTCTTGAAGTAAATAATTAACTCCCACAATAATTTTCAAGAAATATTTTATCTAAAATTTTCCAATGTGACTAACTTTTTTTGGTAGATGAATATTAGATAACATTTATTTTCCGAGTCTGATATTTTATGGTGATTATTGATCAATATTCAAATTATTCAGATAAAATTGATGCGCATGGTATAATTATAAATATTATTATAACTGGGGATAAATATATTTCTATCTTTTATAAACAAGATCTTATCCCAGCACATTCAACATAAAGGCAGAATAAAAATCTTAATTTCAAATATTAAAATTTCCGGATGTAATTAATCACTAACTTTTGGGGAGCATAAGGATAAAGGATAATTGATACTAACATTTTTCCGAGGTGAATTTTTGTATAATAATTTTTGGATCATTATTTAAATCATTTGATAAAATTGTTACAAAGGATATTTATAAATTATATTAAGATGACGTAAAGATCGTTTACTTTTATGTTTTTTAAGGAAATAAAAACTCATCCAGGCACATTTAACATTTAGAAAGACAGAATAAAGATCTTAGTTTCAAATCAAAATGTACGAATACAATTAGTGAATTGCTAACTTTTAGTTGGCACGCGAATAATAGATAACATTTTGTTGAGGTTAATTTTTTTATGATAATTATTAATTAATATTTGCATTATCCTGTAAATCTTAATACAAGTAGATATTTTATCGGATGTTATCGGATGTAGTAGAGAGATAAATCTCATTACATTTGAACAGCAAGAGATAGAAAAACGCCAGCAAATCTTTAAAGCTTTGATTCAATTTGAGTTTTTATTGTTTATTCTTTGTTTAAACTTAATCCAAAGTCTCAAACGACGATCTATAAATACCTCAGGGCATTTAACTGAGCCTCCCACTTTCAGTGACACCCTCTCGTTCTTCCGACACTCTTATTTTCTCATCTCTGCACCAATCTCTTTATTTAGATAAACGTAAATTGCTTTTCCGATCACTCTGATTTTTTCCGACATGTATTTTACCGGCCCCGTTGAATCTTCATCATCAGCCAACAATCTTAATGGCTCTGAGCCACGGGACGACGTGAGGCCCATCGGCTCCTCGCCAAGGACTGATCAGTATGTTGCGTTGTTAAGCGCTTACCTAGCCGATGCTGCTTCGTTGCGATCGCCGGCGACTGTTGTTGAACGTTCATCCCCCGCCTCGCCTTCTTTGCCGGCGGATGATTCTAGCCCTGTGGCCGAGGATTTGACCGACGATGGGTCATATTTACTACATTTTCTGGTTTGGTTTCTTCTTCTTCTTTGGATTTATATAGCTTCTTTCAGTTTTAAAAGTGATGGAGTTTCAATGATTATATTTTCTCTGCAATTTTGATACTTGAAAACGTCACGACAAGTAATAACTTGAAGGTATTTTTTATTATTTACTTTTCAACTATTACAAGCTCGAAGGTAAGAGGGGGAAAAAAGACTATTGCGAATTTGTACAGTCTAATATTTGCTTAACTGATCTTTCTTTCCTAACGAGAAAGCTGAAACAGACGTAGTTCAATGGTTTCTTCTTGCCAATATATCTTTCTTTACTATGTGATCGTACTAGCTATTAGCTTAGGTTCACTGGGTAAAAATATTTGTTTATGGGTTTATTAATTTTTTAATATGCTATGCTCATGTTTTAATTAATTACCAATATTACAGGGTTTGGAAAGCCTACGTGCGTGTTCAGAGGGACAGGTTACTGATAATGCAGGAACAAGCACTGATGTCCCTACCGACCAGAAACCAACGATTCATAAGGATTCAGACGAATCTTTTAACGGCAGCCACCAGGATGACTCGTTCAAAAATCCTAATAATGGCAGTTCAAGTCAAAGTGAAGTTGGAGCTATTCATTGTAATTATTCTGGGGGATCTCATCAAGATTGGAACATCCACAACACAAGTTTCAATCGCAAAGACCTGCACACGCCACCTTATAGAGGTACGTACGTACTTACAAGTTCTTTGATATGCAATTTGAATTTTCTAGCATAATCAAAACATATGGTAGTTCTGTATTATATTATGTTTATGTACTAATCCTAATATGTTCTGTTCACTTACAGGATTCAATTATCGTGTTTTATATTATCCTGATCACGATCCCATTCACTTCAACCCATCAATAATGCCGTATTATCCAGTAAATGATCATATAGCTCCAAATCCTGATGATTTATGTGCTAAGATTGTAAGACAAATTGGGTACTATTTCAGGTACCATATTCAATCTCAGCATGTGCGTTTTGAGTTTTCTTCTTCTTGTTTTTTTGCCGTTTGTAAATTATGTAATCTGTCTTTTGCAGTTTCGATAATTTGATTAAAGACTCATACTTTCGACAACATATGGATCATCAAGGATGGGTTCCCATTCAGTTTATAGCTGCCCTTCCTGAGGTGATTTACGTTGTTCTCTGTAGCTATGTGTAGGTGTGTACGAGGATGGAGTGTTGTCTCGTGATTTTACCCTGATATATATGTGATCATTTATGTTATTATATAAGCATGTGTAAGGTTTATATGTTATTGGATATACCTGATCTGTTTCTGAAATAAGGTTGAAGCCTGTAATTAATACTCCTTTGATCCTACATATAAGACCTTTTTCGTAGTGTAATTTACACTAGGAAAAGAGTTTTTTATTTAGGACCAGAGGAATATAATGCAGGTTTTTCTTTTTTTCTTTTTTGTCACATGAATATTATACTCCTCCGTTCCTTATTATAAGACCCCATTTGACTTTTTATTTGGTCCTAATTATAAGACCCCAATCCATTTTGTCTCTTATATTTATGCATTTTTTCCCAAGATAATCCTTCAAATAATGATAGTTTTAGCCAATATACTTAATTAGCAAGGATATTTTGGGAATGACAATACTTATTTATTATAAATAATCATCTTAACTTACTTCCTTAATCTCCTCAAATAAGTCAATTGGGTCTTATAATTAGGACCGGAGGAGTATTATGTAATGTAATATTATTTAGGACCGGAGGAGTATAATGCAGGTTTTTCTTTTTTGTCACATGAATATTATATTATGTAATGTAATATTATTCAATGGCTGATGATAATTTTACATTTTGCAGATGAGAGAATTGACAAATAGTCCTCGACTGATAGTGGAAGCTCTTAGAACATCACTCGCGATGGAAATTTCGGTATTTTAATTTCCCTGCACTCGAGTTGGTTTTAAACGTCTATTTCAGCTCGTAGAGTTATACTGTAGAATTTGTGATTGAAAAAGATCTTCAATTGTCTACACATAAACTAAATTATTTACTATTTTTGAATTGACAGGATGATAAGAAAATAAGGCCACGTTACCAACAGGCCTGGGACCAGGTTTATTGAAAGAGAATAACCCTCACTGTATAACGAATCATGTGCTTAATCGATAAAAAAAACAAAGAGGACAGAGAGAGCTTACTGGGGAATTTTACCTAAATCATTTCGACCTCCTCCTAATTTTCGTTGCAGGCAATCATCTTTGATCGTTGGATTCGACGTAGAAATTACCTGTGAAGATGTGCGTTGCTTTAATTTAGTTCCTTTTTTTTAATGTTTTATACTACTTTCTATTTTCAATATAAGAACTTGTTTGATTTTTATTTTATTATAAATATAAAATCTTGATTCACTTTATTTCTCATATTTATCTATTTTTTTAATATAATCATTGTCATAATATATTTTTAAAAAATAATATTTATTTATTACAAATAACTAATATAATTAATTTTTTTAATATACTTAAATCAGTTAATTAATTCTTATATCATGTATCGGAACTAATATTATTTTAAGTGTTTTGAAGGAGAAAAGTATAAAGAAAAAACCTCAAGCCGGCGTATTGATTTGGACTTGTACTTTCCCTGTGCGTGTTGGCCTCTTCTGGGCTTGCTGTCTTCTAATCATCTCCTGGGAGCCTGAACTTATACTCCATCGGTCTCTTATTATAATATTTAATTTTTTAAATAAGTTTATTTTTAAAAAAATTTCAGAAAAAACCCTTAAAATATAAAAAAATTTAGATTAGGTCCTGAAATTTTGTAAATGACAGAAAGGATCACTGACCCAATCTGTCATTTGTGAAATTAAGATGAATTGACAATTTTGCTTTTGACTAAGCAGAAATGAGTAGTTATTCTCTAAACAAATCTAGGTAACGCTTACACTGTTCTAGTGATTACAAGGTTAGTTATAGTTAATAATAAGGTACCTGACTATGAAAAAGTGAGTAGTTATTCTCTACATGAATCTAGGTAATGCTTATATTATTCTAGTGATTACAAAATTAGTTGTAGTTAATAACAAGACACATGACTATGAAAAAGTAAGTAGTTATTCGCTACACGAATCTAGGTAACACCTAAACCCTTATAGTGATTCCGAATGAATACAAATGAGGACAAAGTTGTCAATTCTTCTTGAATTTACAAATGACAAATTAGGCCACTGACTCTTTTTGTCATTTACAAAATTCCAGGACCCAATCTGAAATTTCCTATATTCCAATGACTTTTTTTGGGATTTTCCTTTTATTTTTTTATAAGATATTTTTTGAATTTGTCTGAACATTTAATATACTATTACCTATTTTACTCCTAGTTTAATGCGTTTAATGCATTTAATACATTCTTTTTCTTCATTTATCTCACTATTACTTTCTCATATCTATTCATTTATATATAAGGGTATATTTGGAAAAAAAATTATATTTGCTACATATTAATTGCTTTTAACTAATTTTAACTATTTTTTTTAAGTCGCGTGATTTGGTTAAAAAGATCTTATAATAAGGGACGATGCGATATAAGTGAAGGGAAGCAATTACAGTGTGCTCTTTTCTTTTCTTTTTAAAAAATACTCCTCTGGTCCTTAATATAAGACCCATTTAACTAATTTGATTAGATTAAAAAAGTTAGGTAAATTAGTTAATTATAAGAAAAGTGACACATTTTTCCTAAAACACCATAATCATCTTTCTTAATACCCCCTCTCTCTTCTACTTGATTATGGTTGAGAGAGTATCTATAAGGGTAATTTAGAGAAAATTGATAAATATGAAAAATGGGTCTTATATTTAGAACCAAAACTAACTGTAAAATTGGGTCTTATATTAAGAATCGGAGGAGTACTTTTTATGACCTTTAATATGTGGAAGCAATAAAAGATCTGCTGGGTTTGTTTTTGTCAAATTTATTTATTTCTTGCGAGATGTATATATCTAATCCTAGTTGCATCAATTTTACATTAATGAACAGAATTCATATGTAAACAACCAAAAAAAAAAGTGAATTCATATATGATACTTTTTCTTGATCATAATATATTGATATTTAGAATCATCAACAATAAAGTGATTAGGAAATCACTGACCTCGACTTTAAAATAAAAAAAACTTTTCTTATGTTAAATTAAAGCAAAGTTTTAAACATTGATTGCTAGGTAGTATTTTAAAGTTGGGATAATTAATCCACAGCTCCTTATAGTTTCAACTAATTTTAAATTAGGTCCTTATAGTTTTTTTTCTTTTTATCAGGTTCTTATACTTTTACCTGTTTTTAATTAGGTCATTGTATTTATTTTTCTTTTTATCAAGTCCTTATAAGTTCACCTTATTTTTAATCAAGTCCCTGAATTTTTTATTCTTTATTTTATAAATTCTAATAGTACTATTGTATAAACATAAAATAGTATATATTATTTAATATTAGTTTATAAACAATAATATTCTAAAGATATTGAATTATTATAATGATTTTAATTTTTCAGCAAAAAAATTATTGTTCTAAAAAATTCCTAAATTAATTAATTCTATTACTTTTTTATTACATAATTATTAATTTAATTTAATTATTAATATTTTATATTTCAGTATTAATCTATTTAATTAAGCTTATATTGAATTAATAAATAAAAATTAAAACTACATGGACCTGATTAAAAATTTAATGAAATTATAAGGACTTAATTAAAAATAAATAAATACAAGGACCTAATTAAAAAAACGTAAAAGTATAAGGACCTAATAAAAAGAAAAAAAACTATTGGGACCTGATTCAAAATTCGTTGAAACTATAAGAACTTGCGGATTAATTAACCTTTAAAGTTTTAGACAAAAGTTGTGACTAAAATCAACAATTACTTTACTTTAAAAATTAATAATAACTTTAATTATATAAAATAATAGTAAAATTTGTCACCTCTTTTCCAATAATTCTAGCTACAGGCAATCATGATCTGGCCACAGAAAAAAAAAATTACACGCAACATGTTAATTTCGTAAAAAAATTAACATAATAAAAATTCTTAAATTCTTCAAAAGAGTGAGGTCACCGTCACCTCATAATCCGACTTTATGATAAGTCTGTTTTAGAGGTTTTTTATTTGTCACTCTCTCTTAAATAACGTAGGCGAGCTTGTTTTGAAAATTGAAATAGTCAAATGTTAAATATCAAATAATCAAATAAATCTTAAAATATTAAAAAAAAGTCAATTTTTTTTTATCCTTTTATTTTTCAAGAGTGTTTTTGTTTAAATTTATTAGTGTTTTAAAATTTAAAAATAAAATATCGGTCAAGACAGCATTTTTATACGCATTGGGCAATCAGCAAAACGAAAGGAGCCTGCAAACGGGAGGCAGCCAGTCGTGTTTTTCACGAGAAAAAGCTCATCCCCATTAAGCCATTTTCGTCAATCTGGACGCAAGAAGAGCTGAAAAGCTCCAAGACGATTCAAAGAAACCAAAAGCAGCGTTATGAGTTTTCCCAGTTATCCAATGCCTTTTCCTCCGCTTAACTTTTGAGCTCGTCCACAATGGCCGATGATCTTTCTTCCTCCGCCAAGGTTGGTTTAGTTTCACCTTGTTTCTTATTATCCCTTTACATGGAACCTCTAATTTTTTCTCTTGTGATTACTATCTCCTTTTTTCTTTTTTCATGAGGTGGCATTTGAGATTGTCCGATCCGCTTGTTGGAATACCTGAACGAATGTTTGCCATTGGAAGCTCCGCTGCCATGTTATCGGCAAGCAAGCTACTTGATATCCGATGACGGAAATCTTATTTGCTGTTGGCCATGATTTTCTTTTCTTTTTCATTAGATTCCTTCCAAATAATTTCTTTCAAATTCGTTTCTTGGACATCGAAATACTTTCAATGGCATTTGATTCTACCTGCTGACGCCCATCCAACAATACGTTGAGTTGGGTATTATTTGTTTATTTGGAACTGCTAAGTCACACCTCAAATATGGCTTCTAAGCCGGGTGACGGTTAACTGGCATCAAATTCTGGATGGAAATGGGATAGGACGTAGTTTACCAGTATTTCAGTGGTAGACGGACTGAACTGAAGAAATAGCATGTAAAAGACTAAACCTTGGACGTAGTACTTTCACGTTAGGAATAAGAACATAGTCTTTCTCGTATTTGATTCCCGGCCATTTACCTTCTCTGATTGATTAGTTTCCCGAACCTGTTTGTTATGCAGAGCATTTTCACTTGTATATATATTTTGAGTTTCTCACCCTCCTCACTTTTTATCGAGAATCTCCAAATGCGTCTAATGATGTGGTAGAGATCTTCATAGGATTATCCAGAATCTTAATCATTGGTGTTATGAACCGAATGATGACAGGATGTCTTCCTTGCAAAGGCTTCAAAGAATTCTACTTTGGTGGGGAAGATGACCGTATTGGTCTTTGCAATGATCTGCGGAGTCTATATATGTTCTATTTGTCTAAAGCAGGTAAGCATGCCCACTAAGATCGGATTTTTGGATATAAAGGTCGTCAACGAGACATGCCCTGAACCCAAGATTGAACCTTGGGAAATGCCTTACGTGCATTACCCAAAACCCAAAACTTACAGCAGGTAAAATACTGCTTAAATTGAGTGTTGGCTTTAGAATCTGTTTAAATCTTAGTGATATTGCTTTCTTTTTTGCCTCATTTTAGGGCCGAATGTGCTTGCAATCCTGTGAGGTATTTTGCCCTGTTGTCAATGCAGAGATCTGGAAGTGGATGGTTTGAGACTTTTTTAAATAATCATACTAACATAAGCTCAAATGGGGAAATTTTCTCCGTCAAAGTGAGGAGGAGTAATATTTCAACCATCGTGGAGACTCTGGATAAAGTTTATAATCTAGACTGGTTAAGTAGCGCGTCAAAAAATGAATGCACAGCTGCAGTTGGCTTAAAGTGGATGCTGAATCAGGTAATGTCTCTTTTATTTAGCAACATCTTTTTCTTTTGAAATAAATGTTTGTCTAGTTTAACTGTCATCTTTGTAAAATTTTCTACTCATATATAGATCAAAGAGGGGATGAATTCTTTTCTAGTATAGGAAGACATTGGATATTGCAAAAATTTTCCTCTGTTTGTGGACGGTTAGAAAGTCTAGCATCTACGAATAAAGTGTATTGAACTTGTAGCTAACGCGAGATGTCGATGATATTGTCTCCCATTTGGGCATCTGAATGTTAGAAAAAACGTTTGGAGTCAGTATAATGATTTAATGATTTGAAAGACATGTGGTTTTCAGCTCAGTTCAACCGCTACTTAATGGTGACTAGTATTCTGACCTGATTTGTAACTCTCCCTTGGTTTCCCAAGTCCTCTTTCTTCTAAATTCAGTAAAGCTGACATGACATGTACGTCTGCCTCATTGAAAGGTTTAACATAACCTTTTTTAAGCTCTCAATGATGCCTTTGCACATTTTAATTTATCCATCTGGTCACCTAGACTGATGCGGTATTCATCCTATGCTGTCTGCTAAGAACGCTCTTGTAACAATGGTCTGCCTGAACTGGTGCGCCATTGCATGCTTCCCAGAGCAAATAATGAACTATGGATTAAATGGCATTCAATATGTTGATTGGATTAAGCCTAATGAAGTATACCGTATATTTTGACCAATAACCCCTCTGGATGGTAATTAAACAGGTTGCATAGAGAGAGCAAATAAAACATCTTATGTTACTGGTTCTGCATAATGCATGTTTGTTTTAAAGAATTTAGTTGATTTTTTTGCCTCAAGAATGCGATAGAGCTGAAATGGGAATATATTTGTCACTTAACGCAGGGATTGATGCAAAATCATGAACAAATAGCTGAGTACTTCAGAAGACATGGTGTTTCAGTTATATTTCTTTTCCGAAGGAATCTCCTCCGTAGAATGATTTCTATACTTGCAAATCAATTTGACAAAGATGCTAAGCTATTAAATGGGACTCACAAGTCTCATGTTCATTCAGCCCGTGAGGTCTCTCTCTCTTTTCTCTCTCTGAAGTTGTTTGTGCATGTTATTATATTTGTCTCGCCTAGATGCAAGATTATTGAGTCAATTGATGTGCTATCATCCTAGGTAGCTGCTGTAGATATTTATTGTTTAGAAGTTAATGATTTCTGACGTTATTTTCAGGCAGAGACGCTTGCAAAATACAAACCCACAATCAACGCAACATCGTTGATATCCGAACTGAGGAAAGTGAATGAAACCGCCACCAAGGCCTTGGAATTTTTCAAGAGCACCAGACATATTGTCATATACTATGAGGATGTTGTCAAAAACCGCACTGTAAGTCATACAATGTGTTGCATAATCTTTGCTTCATTTTCCTTCTTATGTCGGGCAATTTTGTGGAGAACCCTACCTCATAAGCGGTTAAACTTTTTTACCATTATATGTCTACTTTAGTTATAATGAGGAGAAGGAAGTTATTAAAGATGAAAACTGCAAGGTAATTAGTAATTACACTAAGTAATTTGTTTGAAAACTTTCATTCGTGTTGATATTAATAAACACCCTACCTCATAAGCGGTTAAACTTTTTTACCACTGTATGTCTACTTTAGTTATAATGAGGAGAAGGAAGTTATTAAAGATGAAAACTTCAAGGTAATTGGCAATTACACCAAGTAATTTGTTTGAAAACTTTCATTCGTGTTGATGTTAATGTGTTTAGCTAAATTTGTCCTAGTTTTAGTATGAATTGCCGGAATGAGCTAGAATTAAGATAGTCTTGGGCGTAGAATTGGGCTTGGGCACATGTTCATAAAATGCAACTGAGACTATACCCAAACTTGTCTCGACCTAGCCTATGAACAAGTCTACTTGATAAGAGGTTGTATTTTTAACTTTTTTCTCCTGAGATCATTTGGATTTTTTCCCATTAATTTTTCAGATGAGAATCTCAAAGTTAGTGTAAGGGTGAGAAGGTTCGATGCTTTGAGCTCTTCATAGAATTATCCTTTCTTGCCTCTTAGATTTAATGATCATTCACAAAACTTCTGCTCTCCTTGGAAACCTCCCAAGTCTTAGCCAGGAAATTGTATTGGTTTCAGAAATTAGCAGATGTTCAAGATTTTCTCAAGGTTCCATATAAAGATTTGAAGAGCCGTCAAGTGAAGATACATAAAGGGGTCTTATCCAATCAGATTGGGAATTGTAATGAAGTCAGCAAGACGCTCAATGGGACAGCATATGAGAGCTTCCTTCATGCAGATTACCGTTAGTAGCCTGCTGGGAATGTACATACAACTTTTGTTCTCTTGTGGTGCATGAGCAGAGGTTTGAACCGTAGCTTCTCTTTTAAAATGCCCACAATCCTCAGCAAAAGAACACCCCAAGTGGCTTATTTGTTCTTGTGCTCATTCTTTTGGGTTAGCCTTCCCCTATTCTTTAGTCTCAAGTTGGCTGCTAAGTTGGATGCAGTAGCAGCCCACAGGGTAAGCCACCCTGGTGAAATTTTGGTTCAGTTTTATGTTGTTTTTTCATTTGTTTGTTCATTCAATTTATATTTCATTCGTTCATTGTATTTCACTTCAAAGGAAGTGGGAATTACTGCTGTCTGCATAATTTCTGCCCATTCAATTTCTCCCATGATGAATGGATATGGAGAGATTCTTTGATTCCTTTAGTTAGACCAATTTCATCAAATGAATGAACATACTGAAGTTATGACTCATTCAATGGTGTGCTTCACAAGCTGACATTTGATTGATGGTGGGATTAGTTTATGTGTATTTTGCAATTTGAATCTAAGTGTAAACTTTTTCGAAGAGAAGTTGAGGGCGGAAAGTTTTTGTTCAACAAATGATTAAAAATTTCCCCGACACGTATCATTAGAAATAGAAAGTGATACTATTAGTTCTTGAGCAAGATGATTGAACGCCAATTTGGACCACTTTGAACCACTGATCCACAATCATATCTAGTAAAATAAACTTAAAAAAAATCTTATTCGTACCAAACAAGGAATTAAGGTTATGACTTTTAAATCAATTTGTACATGGCTTTACATTTGCCATTCACTAGGAAGTTTGACTTTGACCACAAAGGCCTCTTATCTACTAGTACCTTAGATCATTTATATAAGAACTAGTTGAATAATATGAATAGATTGAGAAAATTAGTCAAGTTAGTTATTTGTAATAAATATATTTTGTTTTCTTAAAATATTCTTATTAATAATGTGTATTAACTAAAAATAAAACATTTAACATATATAACTATTACAATGATTATCTTAAAAAAATAAATACAAAAAATAAGATAAATTAAGATCTTATATTTAAGATTAAATCAAAAGTCAAATTAATTTTTATTTTAAGTACCGGAGGTATTACTATTTATTTAAATACTAAAACAACTTGTGCATTACTGGAACGGTACGGTAGTGACAACAGTAACCTGACCTTGGAAATTACACAACCTTGTTGGATCCGTCCTTGATTTGAGGTTCAGCCTTTGCTCTGTTCTTTTAGACTTATTACTAGATTTTGAGCCATCCTTCATTCCTACGCTTTCTATGTTGTCAGTCCTAAGCAGCCCTTCACCATTCTCATTGGGCGACCAGAAACTACGTCACAAGACAACAATTTGTTCATATGTATAAATCTTGTTACTTTTTTTTCTTGACAAACCTGGCTCACAGTTCTATTATGGAAAGAGGTCAAATTTTTCTAGTTTGGGAAAGAAGAAGGAAGGAGGCACCTCAAAATGGAGAAGCACAAAGTTGACTGCCAAGACTGTACATGGTGGCTTCCACATCCAAATACAACTAAACTCCACTTTTTGACCTCACCTCCCTTCGTGCGCCCCATGCAAGTGCACCTCTATTTAACTAACAAAACAACTAATATGGAGGGCGCTGTTTCTACGCAATTACTCAAAAGTAATAATCACTTTTTAACTCTGCAGTGACCTTAATCTCCATTATTAGTGAATTTTTAAGAATCTACTTCTTCATAACGTCAAACACCAACGTACCATTTATTAAGCCGCCTCAATTATTAAGTGATGAATGATGTGGAAAATGAAGGGCAGCCTCGTAACAAATATACTTGAAAACTAGCACCGCGAAGTCTTCCATGTTAGTGTAGTTGATGGGATGGCTAATATCTCTTCTACCAATAATTTTAAAAATCATTTTGAGCTTAATTTTTATATTTTAAAACCAACATAGGTGAACATATTTTTAATTATCAACACTCCTTAAATGAGGATATCTCTTTTAGTAGGATTCGAATAGGGTTGGTTAATTCGTTTTTTCTTCCTTCTCAGAAAGTAAATTTGCAATGGTGATTCTGTCGGTGGTAGAATGACGGCTGGGATGGGTTTTTTTTCAAAAAAAGAAAACTAAGGTCTCTGTGTACTATTGGGTCAGAAGGGTATTTTAGTCTTTTCATAAAATAAAAATACTAATTCTAAATAAAAATTAAACAAAGATTTTGTCCAACTCGTTTGTCATAACAAATGTCACGGACTGCCAGCCCACGTCGTAACCGAGGTTTAGGTCTAACCCCAGATGGCCAGATCCAACCCCTCAATCCCTCTGTATATATATAGCCACCCCAATCTTCAACTTCTTCCTCTTTCCACCCCTTTCTCGCTCTCTGTACCTTACCTGGTCTCGGCGTCCGACCCTGCTTGGACCAGGTCCTCTCCTTCTCTCTCTCTCCCCCTCTCTCACAACTCTCAATTTCAGCTCGACACCTTCCGGAGTCGGAGAGGAAACTAAGGTACAGAGAAGCTCCATAAAAGCCATGGCTCAGCCCACCAACACGGCGGATCTGAATCAGCACCAGCATCAGCAGCAGTGGACGACGCAGCAGCCGCATCACTATCAGCAGCAGTGGATGTCTATGCAGTACCCTGCTGCCGCCATGGCCATGATGCAGCAGCAGATGATGATGTATCCACAACATTACATGCCTTACGTCCACCATTATATGCCTCCTCACCAGCAGCAGCTCAAGCCGCAGCCATACCAGCAGCAGCAGCAGCAGAAGCAAGGGTCGTCCGATGAGATCAGGACTATATGGCTTGGTGACCTTCATCACTGGATGGATGAGAACTACCTCCATAACTGTTTTGCTTATACAGGCGAGGTCTGCTCCTGTCCATCTATATATTTTAGGTTCAAAATTGATTTTTGTTTCTTTGTTGTTTAGTTTCATTTCGATGCGTGATGACATGATTTTTACCATCTGCTGAGTTGTTAAAAGAGTATAACTGCAAGCAAGATAACCAATTAAGTGACTGAAGTAATGCCGTAATATATGTTTTAACTGTGAAGTTTATGTCTTTGTGTGCTCGTAAAAGGTAAGTGTTTGTAAAGACTTGAATTCTGCTCAAAATTAGCACCGGTCAACTTAGTCTGTGGCCGGGAGTGTGGACCTGAAACTATGCATACAATGGATTACAAAGGTGCTTTCTTGCAGTTTCCTGAACCGAAGAATTTATTAAGATCTCTCAATTGTATTCTGGACACTATTAAAAGCCCTTTTCTTTTAATTATCTTCTGATCACATGGATTTTTGATCCACTTGTGAATGGCACATTGAAGGAATCAGCCAACGCCATCTAGGATTCGTGAATCCATCTGATAGTGAGCTTTCCATGTAGCTGCTTGGTAGACGCTTTGCTTAAAGCTCTTGCATTGCGAAATATTGCTGATCTTGAGTGTTCTCTACCGCCGGTCAAATCAAAATTCAAAGTTTTAGTTTTGTCAATGTAATAAATGTTGACCGTATCTTTGCTGCTTGACAGTGCAGCTCAGCTTGTGAATCCATGAGCTTTAGACTGGACAATCTTGAACTACAATTATGCGCACCCTGCTGAGGCTTGATTCCAATGTCCTTTGGGGTATTTCTATTAATCAGGGATGATATGGGAGAAGTACATGCATAGAGAAATAGATATTGCTGAATGTTTGGTAATGAAATTTGCTAATATTGATTTTTTCCCACAAGTGCTAAGTTAGCCTCGCATAGACTCTTGTGCATGCCATAGAGGCAACTCTTATTATTAAAAAAATATGCAGTTATATATATATATATATATATATATCCTATATTTCAGATTCTACTTTTAACTTCTTTTGTATTTGCTGTTAGGACTTTTTTGGCCAAAGTATTTGCTGCTGGGACTTATAACTGATGTTATGCGTATAAATAATTTTTTTTCACCGACTCACTGTGTAAAGCTTTTTGACCTTGTGTCCCCACATATGCAGGTTGTATCAGCCAAGGTTATACGAAATAAGCAAACTGGCCAGTCAGAGGGGTATGGATTTGTTGAGTTCTATTCGCGTGCAACCGCTGAGAAAGTTTTGAACAGCTCCAGTGGTACTATGATGCCAAATACCGATCAGCCCTTTCGTCTAAATTGGGCTACTTTCAGCGCGGGTGATAGGAGATCTGAAGCTACGTCTGATCTGTCTATATTTGTTGGGGACCTGGCTGTAGATGTTACTGATGCTATGCTGCATGAAACCTTCGCTGGCAGATATACATCTGTAAAGGGAGCCAAAGTGGTCATTGATTCAAATACTGGCCGTTCAAAAGGTTACGGTTTTGTAAGGTTCGGTGATGAAGCTGAGAGGTCCAGGGCCATGACTGAAATGAATGGATGCTATTGTTCTAATCGGCCTATGCGTATAGGTGTTGCAACGCCAAAGAAGTCCCATGGGTATCAACAACAATATTCTTCCCAAGGTTTGTTAGTAAGCACTTCTTACATTACTTGTATGGCTTGAAAAATACGTTTAATAGGCAATATTATTGAATACTGCATCTTGTTGTTGTCAGATTGTTATTTCTGTGGTCACTTGTAGCAGCATTTGTTGGTTCTGCACTGTAATCAATTTGGCATTACCTCGTTTTAAAAAATGTCGCAAAGTTGCAAGCTGGTTTTTGAATTGATCTAATCAAAATGATGAATATTACAAATAATAATGATAACATGAGGGTTATTATGTTGTTGTAATTTCCTTTTACTATTCTCCATACAAGTTCTCTTACACATGCTTATATTCAGAGGAGGGGTTTGCTTGCTAGTTGCATAAAACTAGTCTTTTTACCCATATATATGTATATTTATAGATTTATGCATTTTGTTCTTTCTTTCTCTTTTGGTGAGACAATAGGAATATCTTCTGTCGATAACAAATACTAATTCTCTTGAGGTGTTGAGAGCAAATATGAGACCCATTCAAACTAGGTTTGTTCCATGCTGAAAAGTTAGAAATCAAACTCCTACCGCAATCACTTGTTCAAGGGACAAGAGCTCTTGCCAGTCTCACCAACTTGAATTCATTCCATATCTTGTTCTTTAGTCACTTCTCTTTTTATTCTGTTGGTAAATGTTTTTATTATTTCTCAAGCTACGCTGATCCTGTTAACTGATGAATAATCTGTAACCAAACTGTTATGTGCTGACATTTATTATAGCTTTGATCCTTTGAATCGTTGTTACTTTGTTTTGTATGATATATTTGATGACTCAAGACTCCGTTGGTCTCTGCTTACTTGGGCTTACATTTGTTATAAGTGCCTTTTTAGTCCCTCTTTTCTGTGCTCTTGCATGCCTTCATTTAATTTCTGGAATTAAATGTGTTACCAACTAGCCATGCCTTCTGAGATGCAGACCAAAGTTTAAACCATACTTAACTCTCCTATTTCCTCACACCCTTGAAATTATAATTTGGATTTTGTTATATTTTGGTGTATTTTGATAGTCAAGAAAGTCCGATAATTTCAATAAATAAGTGCGTCTTCAAAACTTATGATTGAGCATGTTGTTTATGGTTGAGCTCATAAAGAAGTCACTGTAATGCAGTATATCATACACCATTCATCTAACCGGAATTGCAATTCTGATTTTCTATTCTTTCATCAGCTGTAGTATTAGCTAATGGACATTCATCTAATGGAGCTACTACACAAGGTTCCCAGCCTGAAGGGGACTCAAATAACACAACTGTGAGTCTGCTTTTCAGTGTAGTTGTTGACCATCTTGCTCTCGGTATACTATAGTAACCAATCCATCTTACAGATTTTTGTTGGGGGTCTTGATTCTGATGTTAGAGATGACGATCTTAGACAACCATTTTTGCAATTTGGTGAGGTTGTCTCGGTCAAAATACCTGTGGGTAAAGGTTGTGGTTTTGTTCAATTTTCTGACAGGTACCTATATATTTATATCTAATACCATTGGTGATCACTGCATACCATATACCATTTTACCCACAGCCCACTGCATTAGTATTGTTGTCCTTGACTTCTCTATGGGGAATTAATCATCATGCCTTCTGGTATCTCTTTAATAGAAAGAATGCTGAGGAAGCGCTTCAAGCATTGAACGGGACTGTGATTGGGAAGCAGACCGTACGTCTTTCTTGGGGCCGTAGTCCTGGAAATAAGCATGTGAGATGCTGAACTTAGTTTTTCCCCAGATAGTTATTTTATTTTATTTTATTTTGATACCAGGTCATGGCAATCCACCATTCTCCTACTTTGCTTCTTCTATATGTATGCTTTTATATTTTATAGAATTTTCAGTGCCTCAATACGAATATCAAATTGGTTGCTTGTTTCAAGAAGTAGTATGTTAGCGAGGCTGTTATAATTCCTCCATTCTCCGTAGCAAAATCTTTAACAGAAAGGGTTATGAAATGCTTTTTTCATCATCTGGATTCTGATTTAACTCCTCGGGTTTCATGGATCCCACAGTGGAGGACAGATTCCAATGGAGGACACTATGGAAGCCAGGGGTTTGCCATGAGACAAAACCAGGAAATCAGTATGAACGGTGCTGCTGCATTTCAAGGGGCATCCTGATAGGGGGGGCACAACTGCAAACCAATCCCATCAAACTCAAAAACCAGAAAAAAAAAAAAAAGACAATATATTTATTGCTCTCCAAGCAAATTTGTAGCTTGGTGAGTTTTATATTTGGGCTGTATTGCTATGTGAGGTTCTTTAGACTGTACTATTATCTTTAAAATTTTGGAGTGTGCCTGACACATTATATGGCGAGGAGATCATTTCTTCTTGACCCTTAAATATATCTGAGGAGATTGGAACATAGGTACTGTACTAGTTTTTTTTTTTTTTTTAATTTTGTTCGTAGACGGCTGAGATTATTTTAGATACTTGATCTTTTTTATGGTCCAATGCAACTTTTATATGTATGCCAGTGTTGCACGCCTATGCCCTCGTTTGCATGAGGCTTGCTGAGGTATGTTTGGATGGAAGAATGAAGGGAATGGGGCAGAGTTTGTCTTGGGGGAGGGGGGGTTTGCTTGGTAAATGGTAACCATGAAAAGTGTTAAAAATATTTTTAAAATTATGGTTTTAATTTCATCCAAATATTTTTTTTTAAGGCAAAGTCTGGATTTAAGCTTCATTTCCCTTATTTTCCTTCCATCCCAAGTATATCCCAATTGATTTGCACGTTTTTCGTAAATTGAATCGATTTTTTTAATATACTTATTTCGTATTCTGCAAATTATAATTAAAAAACTATTTAAAAGTTATCTCAAAGAAGTCTTAAATTGAATGCAAACCAGTTGACGACTTGTGTATCTTTCCCGTGTGAATGAAATCTTCAATTCGTCATTGTCTGAAATAACGTGGCCGAAAAAGTACTTGTGAAAGGTTACTTGTATCCCTGTTTTGCGTTGAGGAGCAATTTTTCAATAAAACTAGATGTTTGAGGTAAAAGGTGAATATTATGTGAATGATATAATAAAAAGGTCTTCGCAATAATTATATAGAAAATATTGGAAGAACAAAAAGTGCACAATATTTAAAAAGAGCCATATTATGCAGGGTTACTGTATTTGCTATTTTCAGCTTCATATTTTGTATTTTCAATTCAACTTTCGCCATTAAATCATACCGAATGATCCTAATTATGAACCAGACGTGTCACGTAACAAACACTTAAACAGCATGATTTATTAAAAAATGCATTAAACATTGGGACCGTGGGGCGTTGCAGGAAGTCAAAAATAGCCTGATATTGTCTGGGGATGTAGCAAGAAGGACAATGCAATCGGAAAACTGGCCTTCCCTTTCTCGATCTGCAAAATTTTCCAATAGTCCAAATTTCTCTGTCACGATTCATAAGCGTTGAAAAATCCCATTCTTTCACAGTACCACCATTTATTCCCCAGATCCCACCATGTCCTCTTGGTTAAAAAAAAAAAAATCCCTCCATGTCCCTTCTCTCTCAAATCCCAAGAAACAGACATTTTCCTTTCTTTTTTTTTTTTATCATACAATTGGATAGAAATCAAAACATAATTTTAAAAGTGTTTTTACGGTTTATAAAATAAATATGTAGAGAAATTTATTTCGTTTTACGAAAAAATAATTTTTAAAAACATTTTTTATATTTGCCAAACATTCTCTACAACAAATTTTATCCCATAAGATTAATTATATAAACGACATAATATTGTTATGATCCATCAAAAATTTAATTTTTCAATAAATTACTAACCAAGAACTAGTTATTAATGGTTTCATTAATTTTTTTTACACCTTATTAGTGGGTTTTAGACTGCTTGATTTATCTTCATGACGCATCCAATGCATTTTTTTTCCAGTTCTACAAATGAGAAAAATAGGGAAGTAATTAAGAAAAAAAAACAGAGATCAAGTAGATATGTATGGATTATATATACAGCTTTCGTGAAATCAAGTTGAGGCTCTTTGGCAATGGATACTCCTATTTGACGCTGTATATAAATAAATAGTTAATGGAAAACAATAATTAATTTAATACTTATATAATATATTGAATTTTACATTTCTCAGTTACGTTCTTATATTTTCAAATGTATTGCATGGTATTTAATATTTTAATTTTGTGGTTGAATTAAGAAGCCCGATTTAAATTATCATTTTCAGTCCTAATTATAAAATTTTGTTTGTAATTTATAAATAGGATTTTATGAATAGGACCCGAGGTAGTATTATTTATTATATGCTGGCTCTCACTTAATTATATATATATGTATATATTGCCCAAATATAACTTTTTACATTTTTCACTTTACACTGTTATTTTCTCTTCTATTATTTTCTGATTTACCGCATTAATTCAAGGGAACAAAAGGGGACGTAATTATAAAGGGATTAAAACAAACCAACATTATGTTAACATCAATGTCATGTCATAGACTCATAGCTAGTTGTGCTAACGTACAAGTTATATAATTGATTTATAAATATTGAAAAAATTAATTAGATTACTTATTTAAAAAAATCTATATTGATTTTTCAGAAGTTCTCAGTTATTCGTATCGCATATCACGTCCTAAATATGTATAATTAATTTAAAAAGTTTTAAGAAAAATTATAAATTTAATAAATAAAATAATTTTATATTCCTTTTCATAAAACTTTCATGAACTGACGTCTTCATTAACCTTTTCATTTTGTGATCTTCCTTAATCCAGCTGCTCAATTCGTCCTGCTTGTATGTGCTCGCCCATTTCCTGGCTTATTTCAACGTCAGAATAATTAATTAATGATTGATGGGATTACAAATTTTAGCTTCCAGCTGAAAATTGGGGAAAAAAATAAAATTATAAATCAGTGCCATCTCAACAAGGCTAACGTGGTTTTTTACGAAAACAATTGAACTTGGAGCATAATGGTAAGTACATAAAACTATTAATTTTTCGTGCTCACCCATTTTTCGTTATTAATAATGAGTACGAAAGATCAAAGTTCTAGCTGACTCTTTTTTTTTTTTTAACTGAATTTTTTTTGTTATTAATGCTGGAATCATTGTCATTAAAATAAAAAAAAAAGCTATATCTGGTCAGATTAAGTCTCTAAAATTTCACACACAATTTTATATTCTGATTTGATCTCATGAGACCATCAATTCTTTCTTCAATCAATGAAAAGGTTGGCATCCTTGAGTTAATTGTTAAACCACATGTGTGTTTAGAATCATATACCTGTAAACCATAGAGGGTTTTTTTTTTTTTTGGTCCAATGTAAACCATAGAGGCTAATTATACATGATTATGAAATTTTAGAGGCTTGGTTTGATAAAAACTAAATTTGTGGGACCAAAACTATAATTGAGGCTATCTAAGAGGGCAAAAAACTAGTTCAATATTGGTTCATTTGCAAATAATCATTGGAGTTTCTAAAACAAGGGATAGGTGACTCAATTTACACAGTTCAATAAGTTATTCTTTTTTATCCCAAATCAACAATATAATTCCATCCTGTCAGTGAATTGCTTCACTGAGTCCTTAGGTTATCAGTTGGAAAGCCAAGACTTATTTAAAATGTTATGAATATACTTTTTTTTTTTTTGGAGTGATGATACATCACATTCACATTCAAATGATTGAATTAATATTCTAAAACCAGGGGTACAAAAAATATAAAAGTATTGTTATAACATGTGAGTGATGAAAACGAAAAAGTAATGCATTTGCATATTAAAGTTCTTTATAAGTCAAAAGATAATCAAAACTCAAACACGCGATGCTTGTGGCTTTAAATAAAAACATCAACCCGAGCTCATAGATAATCCCGTCCAAGCAAAAACTAAATTGAAAATGATACGTCGTACTAGTATACATGTTTTTAAAAAAATATTTCAACTCTCATAGTTGTTAAGCATCAAGGTTGGTGACAAACCTCAAAAGTATACTAGTAAATCTAGATTTTTTTGTTATTGTTTTGTGAGAGAGGGGAGCGTTGTTTATATATATTTCCCATGATTGAAAAATTTAAAATTAAGATAGAAATGAAAAATATTAAAAAGAGCTATATGCATATGAATGTAACTTCCGCAGTGATTTTTTTTTAAAAAAATACTCCTCTTATTATAAAATTTGAAAGAAACTCATAAAAACTACTATTTACAATTTTATGCAACAAAAATATATTTAAAAAGGGGAGAAGTATTAAAGAAGTTAGTGTAATCTTGTACTCCTGGGCTAATAATAAATTAATAAAATTCAGTCAAAAACAGGGATTATCAATATATTCTCCCCTATCTCGTCTTTATGAAGACTAAATATCTACCTTTTTCAATATTTAAAAAATAAGTTAATTTTAGTTAAAAACTTTAAATATGTAGGTGGATAGAAATTTTTTTTATAATGCCTGAAATAATTTATTTACTAATGAGGGAATATTACTCCTGTTTAGTAAGAACATAAATAAAAAATTACAATAAATCCTTCAAACAAAAATAAGTTTTTTATAATTAGTAACAAAATTATGAACCACAAAAGAAGCAAAGAGAGACACTTGGAGTAGAGGAAAACTAATAATTAATGTCAACAATTACACATCACAGTTGTGCTCAGTCTTGTAAAGGCGGCTTCCTGTCGCCTTTCTCTCTCTTTCTCTTTCCTCGCGCCTTCCTCCTCTCTCTCCTCTATTTATTCTCACTTTCTCACTTTCTCTCGCCGACACTCTCTCTCACACCCACAGCGGAACCACTCGTTAACTACGTTCAGGCATGGAGGTCGAAGTGGTGGTGCCGTCTCCGGCGCCGGACAACTTCAACTTCGACAGCAACTGCTCCTCCCCTTACATCACTGCTCCTTCTAGTCCTCAACGTTTCGGCAACTTCTTCTTCAGTGCCCCCACCAGTCCCACTCGCTCTCCTTCCCCTTTCTTCCTCAACGACGATGACTTGCCCAGACACTCCTCTGCTTCTTCTTCTTCCTCTGTCCCTTTCCGCTGGGAAGAAAAGCCCGGCGTTCCCAAATCCAAACCCACCAACAGCACTGAACAGGACAGGGATGGGATTGGGAACGAAGACTTTGAATTCGACTTCAGTGGGCACTTGGACAGAACTGCTTTGACCGCAGATGAGCTCTTCGATGGTGGAAAAATCCGGCCGTTGAAGCCACCTCCGCGGCTGCATTCCGGCGACGGGAATAGCTCTCCGGCGTCGAACTCGAATATGCCATCTCCGAGGTCGAGAATCTCTCAGGGAAAGAGAATCGTTCAAGAGGCGTTTTCCCCACGCCATCAGAAAAGGAATTTCGATCCATTCGCAGCTGCCATGGAAGAAGCCCGTAAGAGTGAAGGAT